TTTACTCAGATTATAATAGTAAATCATTGTTTATTTCTGTTTCCAACGCATTTTACAAAAATTACATAGTAACCCAATATTATTGCGTGTCTACTCACGATTCTTTCTGTTCCTTGGAAAAATGCAAATTTCATATAATTTCAATTGGAACATCTCTTAGCCAAATTCTTAAAGATTAGACAAATATCAATACATATATCAAGAAACTGATTGTCTTTACACTTTGTACAAGCACAGATTCTTTTCGAGTATTGTCACATCAAGTGGGGAAGTCTTCAATCAGCTTAGTTATGGAGTTCAGCATAATTTACGATGGAAAGGAGCAGAAAAAAACACCAATCGTATCAAGGAAACGACTTGTTCGCAAAAAGTTCAAAAAAAACATTATCTAAGTTCTAATCAAAAACTTGCATCTACGCAAACTCTTGGCTCAGCATTTTTAGACACAATTCGAAAAGTACAAAACTCAAAATATGAATCTGATTTGTTCAAAATAATTGATTGTTATATTGATGGTTATGGTTCTGTAGATAGTGAGCGTGTCAATTTTTCTATTAATTTTGATTATTTCTTCATAACAATCATGTCAAGGTTAATTAAATTTCAATTCAACTGCTTTGCATTTGAAATGTTAAAGCATCCTCAGAGAATGCTGATATCCAGTTTCAAGCTGGAAAATGGAACAGTTATAACTCCTCTCTTCAACTTTTATATGGAACTTGGATTGCAGTGCACCAAAATGCACCAAAATTCAATATTCTCCTCGGAAATGCTTTAATAATTTCGTTCAGTCAGTGGTTGATGCTAGAAGAGAAGGAGATCAAAAAACCCTTTGTCAGGAGTTGTAGCAGAAACAATGAAACTTTTGGGTAATTCTTCGTATGGATATCAGATCATGGATAGATCGAGACATACAATCACAAACATCTGAATGATGAAAAAACCCATAAAGCAATCAATGAACCACTGTTTAAGAGACTTAACTCAGTTGAGAAGGACTTATATGAGGTGGAGTTGTTGAAATCAACCATTGAGCACCGAGAACCCATCATCGTTGGATTTTTCATACTGCAGTATGCGAAACTGAGAATGTTGGAACTCTACTATAACTTCTTTGACAAATTCTGTGATGTAAACAAATTTGAAGAGTTGAAGAGTTAGAGATGGAAACAGACTCGCTTTACTTGGCATTAGCCGAAGAAAATTTGTACGACTGTATCGAACCAGATAAGAGAGCTGCTTGGGAAAAAATGAGGGAAAGGGACTGCAGAGACTCTTTCAAGGCGGATGCAAAATCTAATAGAACGTGGGAGAGTACGCATAAATAGCATGAAAAGCGGGAGCCGGGACTTTTTAAAGAAGAATTTAGATGAACAGAAATGCTATGTTTGTGTAGCAAGACATATTGCTGCTATGACAACAAGTCAGATAAGTTCAAATTTAGCAGTAAAGGATTAAATAAACGGGTTCTAGAAGATTCTGGAGACGGTCCGATGTCAAAATACAGGAGACTGCTTGATGAAGCAATTAATCTTACATCTACTAACAGAGGATTCAGAACTATAAATCATATGGTTGCTACATATGAACAGACAAAGAAAGGACTAAGCTATTTTTATCCAAAAAGACAAGTACAAGATGATGGAATTCATAAAAAACCATTGAACTTATAAGAACTGATCTGGTGTAGTAAAAATATTCGTGATGTCGTGTTATATTGGTTTTATGATATTATAATGTAAAATGTTGCGGTAAACTTGTTATACAATGCAGTGATTTATATACTTTTTTGTAATTGAATTTTTTTTCTCAAATTTTTTTTTCGAAGTCTCTGTAGGTTTCAGCCTTGTTTCAATTAGATAGAAAGTAAGATTATCGTTTCATTAGATAGAAAGTAGGATTATCTAATAAATTAGGTCAACTAATAGCTAACCTTATCATGTTTGAAGTTTTTTGAAAATGTTTTCATAAGAATTCCAAGTTTTTACCCAAAAAACTCTTACCATCGACTTACCATATATCAAAAAACTAATTGAAAGTCCTTCATTACACAACCTACTCGTAACTAACCTTTAATAATTAACAATTAGGTAACGGGCGCCGAAATTTTTGCGAAAAAAAATTAGAATTTTCCACTCAAAAACTAAAAATATTACGTTTTTCTTTCTCTTACCATCACACTGAAAGCTTACCATTCGTATTCCCTATCTTAATACATTGTAGACACTATACCCAATGTTAATACATAGCTGGCAGACCGGATGCTCTATTCCTTATCTTAAAACATGAGGGTCTGCCACCTTCCCATGCCCCCCCCCCACCACTTAACCTCCAACATCTACTACTACGATACGAGATTTACATGGGAAACACTGAACAAACACTTAATATTAAAAGTATTTTGTAGCTTTGATGACAATTTTCAAAAAAAATCCAAAATAGTTAGATTGGAATTGAAGATTGGTAACCATCTTTTTATAAGTAAACAGATTTTCCGGCTAGTTAATCTAATTTTACTTGAATATTAGAAGAAAAAAAAAATTTGCTGTTGTTCGGTCGTTTGTTCAAAATGTATATATAACGCATATCAGTTAACTTTCAAGATGCTTAGAGGACTTATCAAGAATCTTGCAACATTTTGCGTTTAAAACTGCTTGTCAAAAGAACAAGAAACCTGTCATGAAATTCGAAAGGTTCTGCGTTTTCAGAAATTTTGCCTTATTTGCATTCCAGAAACACTAGAATAAAGTGCAGTGAAAAAAATTCTACTAATTTGTTTCTGATTTCCAGAAATTTTCTGTTTTTTTTCTATGGGTGTCGTAGCAATATTCTGTGCTACTTGCATAGCAGCGGTCTATTCTTGTTTTTTTTTCGCTTGTATTAAAATTTTTGGCAAACATTATGATGCAAAAAAAAATCTTTATGTTTCTAAAGTTTCAAGCGTTTTAGTCGTTTTCATCGCTTTCAATGATTTCGAATTTCTCTATTACTACAAAAAACGCACAAAAAACAACACCAGTTTGAAAAAAACTCTTGTTTTCATTTTTATGGATGTAGTAGCAACATTCTGTGCTACTTGCAGTGCAGCGGGCTATCCTTGTTTTTTTGCTTGTGTTAAAACTTCTGACAAACGAGATGATGCAATAAAATCTTTTTTTTCTAAACTTTTTAGAAGTTTTAGTCGTTTTCATTGCTTTCAGTGACTTCAAGTTTCTCTCTGTTTCTACAAAACCGCACAAAAAACAACACCAGTTTGAAAAAAAGTTTCTAGTTCACTTCTATGGAAATGGTAGCACCATTCTGTGCTACTTGCAGTGCAGCGGGCTATCCTTGTTTTTTTTCGCTTGTGTTAAAACTTCTGAAAAACGAGATGATGCTATAAAATCTTTTTTTTTCTAATTTTTTTAGAAGTTTTAGTCGTTTTCATTGCTTTCATTGACTTCAAGTTTCTCTGTCACTACAAAAAATGTACAAAAAACAGCACCAAAATGAAAAAAAATCTAGTTTTTTTCTGAGGATGTGGTAGCAACAATCTGTGCTACTTGCATTGCAGCGGGCTATTCTTGTTTTTTTTGCTTGTGTTAAAATTTTTGACAAACAATATGATGCAATGAAATCTTTTTATTTCGAAACTTTTTAAAATTTTAGCCGTTTTCATCGCTTTCAATGATTTCAAATTTCTCTGTTTCCACAAGAAACGCTTAAAAAGCAACGCACCAATGTGAAAAAAAAGTTTCTAGTTTTTTTCTATGGGTATCGTAGCAACATTCTGTGCTACTTGCATAGCAGCGGGCTATCCTTGTTTTTTTTCTTGTGGTAATTTTTCTTTTTTTTAAGGAAATGTATGTAAATTTTTATCACTTTTTTATTTTGGGTTTTTTAAGAATTGAACTAATTTACAAACATACATCTTGCTATTTTGTTGCTTAAAAACTCACTTTTATGGGAAGTGTTTCAATTTTTTTTCTTTTTGATTGCTTAAAGCATAAAAACATCTCAAAACGCTCCAATTTTGGGCTTTGAGTTTTATATTTTAAAATTTGGACATCGGTAGTTTTTAGAAATTGTTATAGAACGTTTTTTGTCTTTTCTTTTTCAGTTTTACTTTTTGTTTTATGCGCCTGCTAATCGTTCAGTTTACCCAAGGGAGGGAGAAAAGGATTTCTTGTTTCTTCACGCAAAAGATTCACCACAATTAAGCGTCAAAAATGGTTTAGTGATATAGCATAAATATGCTAATTTGTTTCTTGAATCGGATTCTGAACCACATTCGAAAACGTTTGACTGTTGGAGAAATATTTCCCTTTTCCGAGTTACTTTCATTAGTATACTTGAAAAAATTATCCATATTTAACAAATATTTTTTTTTCTTTATTTAGCATGGTCAGAACATTCTGCACTACCTAGTTACGATTTTCGGTGTGTTATACTTACCATACGCTTAAATGAAACAAAAAGTAATTTTTTTTGTTGATTTTTTTTATGTGAAAATTTTTTGAAACTTGTTTCAAATACTTATAGTGTTTGCAATGATTTGATACCCGTTCCCCTTCGCCTTAATTTCCTATAACTCATTAAAGAACCTAGAATAATATAGCCTTCACAATTTTTGGAATTTTACTCATGAAGCCTTTTCTTTGCTAATAGAAACTGACGCGTGGATTAATTGCTATTTTAAACTCACACATTATGTTTTCTCACCCAATTTTGGAGAATCAATAATTACTCCTTAGAGTTGATGTACATATTTGGTGGGATCAGGGGCGGATTTAGGGGGCAAATTTTCCAAAAATTGCCTAAAAACACCGTTTTTTTTTGGCCAAAACACGGACTTTTTACTGCTTTGGTAGAGCTCGGAAAACCAATTTGGTCGACCTAAAAAAGTTCTAAATTTCAAAAAAAAAATGAAAATCCGCCCCCCCCCCCCTCTCGCGAAAATCCTAGATCCGCCCCTGGGTGAGATGAGTCAATTGATAGAAGAAGTGTTTGATGATATATAGACTCAGAACCCGTCCGAGGTGGCTGCGATGGTTCTGATGGCGGAGCAGATGAAGGCGGATAAGTTCATGATCCACGACAGTGTGAGGCCACACGACGTATACTCGACAGACGACGAACTAGACGAAGACGAAGACCACATCGCTCAAAACACGCCAGAACAACAACCAGCCAATCTGGTTAGCCTAATCAGCAACTTGGTTTTCATAACAAATTATAATAAAATTGAAGTCAATTGGAATGCATAATGCATATGGAGATTGGTACAGACTCAAACTTGTATCGCCTATAGTCGTGGTTTTATATCCAGACCAAAAATTATTTAGTTTTGGTATTTCTAAACAGATTTGGTGAATTTCGGCGCTATGCGTTGATTTCTTTTCTTTCGCAGCTTTCATAACCATAGCAGAACGCAGTAATTTAAAAATACGCAGTAAAAATTAAATCCTTGATTGCTCTAACAATCTAGTCAATCTAACAATCATGCAACTTCAAACGGTGTAAATCTCGAATTGGTTTAAGGCTAAACAAACTAATCAGGCTTTAAAAAATTTTCGCTAAATCATATCTGTGACAATTTTGCCCTAAAATTTTGCCCTAATAACAAAAAGTGGGACTATCTTGAATTTATTGAATTAAATTGATTAGGTTAAAACGCGCAAAGAGTATTATAGTCAATTTAAGACCAACCGAAGACATAACGATCGTATTGTCAAAACCCTTAGGAATGTTTTTATAAAATTGTTTTTTTTTTAAAAACCATTTATTCGGCATTTATACAGTGAAAAAACTTCATCTCTACGTCGCCAAACTCGGTTTCACAACAGAGCACAGTTTCATGTTCGCTCGATTCTGGGTTTCAAAGACACATGTTTTTGCATGTGTTAGCTGTTTTTGCAGCTGGAATCCAAAAAAAATGTTGCCTACAAGTCCTCTAACAAAATATCTTCAAGCAAATTCAACTGATAATCCAGAAGTTTTTTTCCAGAAGGTTTTTCAGAAGTTTTTTCCAGAAGCTTTTTCATGTTTTTGTTGTTCATTTTCAGAACTTTTCAGAAGATTACAAAACTTATCATTAGACTTCACAATAATATCGAATCACAAAGTAACTTGTGCAGCTGAAGTTTGCGATGCGAAACTTAGAAACAAGTGGTTAAGCCTTATCTGCTAAATCCCAGGTTGACCTCCATTGACCAAAAATACTACTCATACAATTCTATAATTTAAGTCTTTGAAAAATACTACTCATGCAAATTTCATGCATTTCGCTAAAATAGTGACATCGAATTTTCAAAAAACTTTTTTCTTGTTTTGGCATGAAAGTCGGTGTATCGTAACAATAGAAAAAAGAATATTTGAAAATTGCATGGCTTGCAATTTTTTTGATGGCGGCAAGTAATTTTGAAATTGTCCAAAAAAATTTTTTGGTTTTTTTTTTCAACCGCAAATCCAATTTTGTACTCGAATAAACATTTTCCAAAAACAAAAATTTTGCATGCAAAGTTTAGTTTTTTGTGTGCATAACGTAGTCCTGGATCCACATAAATTAGTTTTTTTTTTCATTTCTCTGGATAACTTTTTTTCAAAAACGCTAAAAACCCATATATTTTTTGTCATCTTATCTATGCCTTAATCAATGTCTGATAAATTCAAAACTCAAATTTTAAAGATCATCATCTTTCAATTTTTTTGCAAAATTATGAAAGTTTGATATTTTCTGTATATCATTTGTGTAAAAAAAACTTTTTTAAATTTCAGGTCATTTCCAATGCATTGTAAATGCATGACGCTCAAACCTTTGGCGATTCTATTTTTGATTAAACCATGGTTTTTGTCAGTTGTGTTTGGTCACGAACACAACCCAAAAATTTTGAGAAATTAAAATTAAATAAAATCAACTTTTTTGGTGCAAGGGAAAATGCTAGTCGTACAATTTTCATAAATGCAAAATCACTAATCAAAGACCTTTTATGCAATTTTCTGTACTTATGGATTTGAATGAAAAGTGTATGACTAGCATTTTTCTATATATGAAAATTGGATGATTAGCATTTTTGGTTAACCCGGGATCTTAGAACATTAGCAGTTCAAAAGTGGAGCTTATTGTCTCAATCCCCCATGCGCATGTATCAATTGCTTAGCCAGCATAGAGAGGTATAATTTTATAAATGTCTTAAATGGCAACATAAAATGTTGATAATGATAACATCAGCAAGAGAACATTGCCTTAAGGCTCAAAAAAGAATAAAAAGGGAGGGGCCTGGACATTAATGTTTTGATAAAATTGTTTTATTTGAACTGTGACAAAAAGTATTTCAATTCAATATAATGAGTTTGTGAAATCCAATGACAAATTCTAAAAGTCATTAACAAAATCTGAAATCCACTGACAGTTTGGAATCCAGCATCAAAAACAGCAAATTGAAATCGAAACCCATTGACGAATACTGGAATATCGCGAGTTTTCATGGAGTTCGTTTCAGTTGAAAAACGCGTTTTTCCGATAAATCCGAAAAGAGGATGATTTAGGAATTGTCTCTGTTTCCCCTCTTATACCTGGATTCCAGAAGTTTGCTCGCTAGCAAAAAATGACTTAACGTTTAAGCATTTGTTTATAGATTCAAGTTTAACGATCATATGTGAATACCGGATCATACCGGATAAAATTTTGCAGAAACAGGGAGAAAGTATGTAGAAGCCAAACCAGCATTTTTTACCGAGTATGGCGTCATAATTTATTTTTCTCTGCCACAGCAGAGAAAAAAATCAAAGAAACTGTCAGACAGTTTTATTTAATCATTTTTTCAAACGCTTTAGTCAAACACTTCAGGTTGCTTAAAAACTTAATAAAAAACTAGACCAAAGGCTTGAGAAATTTGAAATCATTGCAATCCATGTTCAAATTTTACAACTGCATTTTTATCGTCAAATTCAGTTTATTTCAATTCAGCTAAACCCATCAATAAATCATCCTTGCTGAGACTTTTAATGATCTGAAATTGAAATAATTTTTGATCATTAGATCAGTAGCACTATTTGGCTCAACAATGAAAAAATTTACAGTGCTTCATTATTGTTCGGCCTTTCAAAGCAAATGACGGAATGTTTGTTTCCTCGGAGGTTTTTTTTCTCTAGACAAATTTCGACCTCTTCAACTAGCCATTGTTGACAGAGACTTTTTGTAATCATCTGAAAGATATAAATTTCGCGCTACTAACTCATTGGCGGAGATTTAATCCGTCTTAAAAACCGTTGAAAATTGGTTGAAGCAGACTACTGTTAGTACTGCTTTGTTACTAGGAGCGAAATCAATCTCTTTGTACTTTATATGGCGTGTGGGTGGGATGATTTTCGAAAAAAAAACTCAATTTTCAAATGTCAAATCTCAAAATTAATCTATTTTTTTTTTAAACGAACACTGCTTCAAAGAGCTTAAAAAGCAGTCGAAACATTCAAGTCTTTGCCCTGATAATAGCAGTCTTGTTGTGCTATCAAATGGAAAAAAAAACTATGTGTTAAGTATCAATTGACGAGTCTAACTGAATAAACAGTGAAAATTGAATGAAAAAAATTCGGATTTATTCAATGATTAAAAATGGGTAAAGATACTTAGATTTATCCTTTTTTAATGTTTGAGTGTCCTATATTTTGCAAATGAGTTGGAAGCAGCCAAAAAATCATTTGGACTTCAAAAAATTTGCAAACAATGCGAGCTCTTCTCACTGATACAGTGCTGATTTAAATTTACCGGACAAAATAAACAAAACTCGAATCTTCAAACGGATTTTTCTCAAATTGGGTTAAGAGTAGACAAAAAATGAACAGAACTCAAGTTGCTTAGATTTCACCAGAATTAATATAATGCAATTTTTTCTCCAGATTTCTCAACCAAGATTTTATCCCAAAAATCGGCAATTTTGGCTTTTTTCAATTAATCAAAAATTACGCTGAAACTGCTTTGTTAATTGATGAGAAATAGTTATCACAAGATTTTCCTTACAAAGCCCAAGAAAGTTGTAGAAGGGTTAATTCTCCAAAAAATTTTGTGTAAGAGAAAATATTTTTGCGTGATAGTCAAGAAACGTGATTTTTGCTATATAAAACCCAAAATTTTTGCTTAAAAACAAATTTTAAAAAATTTATTCCAATTTTTGGAGATTCAACCTTTCTACAACTTTCTTGGGCTATGTAAGGGAATTCTTGTGATAAATATTTCTCATCAATTAACAAAGCAGTTTCAGCGAAGTTTTTGATTAATTGAAAAAAGCCAAAATTGCCAATTTTTGGGATAAAATCTTGGTTGAGAAATTTGGAGAAAAAATTGCATCATATTAATTCTGGTGAAATTCTAAGCAACTCTACTTCTGTTTAATTTTTTGTCTAATCTTAACCCATTTTGAGAAAAACGCGTTTGAAATTTCAAAATTTATTCGTTTTTTCCGGTTAATTTAAATCAGCTCTGTAGTTAACGATATAATTTAAACTCACATTGTGCAAGACAAAGAAAAAGACCCTAATTGCTGCTTCTTCTTAACCAGGAAGCTGTTCAAACGCCGTCACCAACCGCAAAGAACAACTTGACACCTCCTGCTGAAAAGGCGGAGCCGACCATTCTCATTCCAACTGACGCAACTAAGATCAAAAAACCCCCGCCTGTTCCGAAAAAACCGGCTAACCTTCGGATGACAGAAGAGGAAATGGTGGCAAAACTGGAAGCGCTGGTAGGAAGTCGTGAGTTGGGTACTAGGTTCATCAAGCGCGAAATGATTGGATCAGGTGCATCAGGAAAAGTCTACTCGTGCACTGACAATGAAAACCAAAAGAAGGTAATGTTATTATGTTTTAATTAGTTGTCCAATGAAATAGAAATATGTTTGAGAATGCACTGCGAGTATAGAAATCAACCACCAGAGTGGCTCGAGACAATTTTTTTCGTATTTCCGGTCTTGTAGTCTGTGATAATATTTTCGGGCATGAAAGAAATTCCCGAAATTTCTTGATTTTTTTGGAGCAAATTTCCAAAAAAATTATTGTTAAAGTTCTTCAGTTTTTTCGCCAAGTAAGGTCCAAACATCTGGAGTTTTCCATTCCTTCGATGACCCAAATTGGGGCGGTAAACAAAATATGGCTAGAATTCAAACTTATAAAAATGTTTTCTGTAAATCAAAAGAACGTCTAGATCCATAGTTATTGTCAATACATTTGTAATACTGATTAAATCCGTTCGAACAGAAAATTATTGCATATTAGGTTTTCCACGCAATTTTTGCATTGATTTTTTTGAAAAATTAATTGAGAATTAACTGCGCACTAGTTCAAAACTTGTTTAAAATGAGTGCAAGTTTTGATTACGAAGCGTGAAAAGATGATGCTCCATTCAAATTTACTGACGCCTCAGCTCAGGCTAATTGCATGTCGATCAAAGTCTGCTAAACGCTCCATATTTTAGCTTTTATGCTAGAAGATTGGTCTGCTAAACGATCGGTCCCCCTAATTTGCATTTAGATAAGTCTGGGGTGCGATGGTGATAAGTTTTTCAGAGTAATATACGTCGAGATCTCATTTATCAATCACAGGTTTGTGTTCACATCAATGGCGTTACACAGAGCCGAATAACCAGTTTGCCTCAAAAAAATTGTTTTCCGTTGGCCGAAAAAAACGTTCCCAAGTTTCAAAGTTCGCAATTTTTAATATTCAGTTTAAAACTGCCAGTAAGCGCAGTTCACAACTATAACCGGCTCCGATTGCTGTATAAAACCGTATTTTCTGTTGGCAACTTCACAGAACGTAGTCGTAATTGCGGTGATCTTTATTTCGTGTCTGTACAAAACAGTCCCATACAAAACGGTCGAATACAAGGGCCGAGAATTGCCCTTTGTTCAACAAACATAAAGAATAAAATAGTGACCGCCGCAGTCGCGCTAACGTGTTGCGAGCTTGCGAACAGAGGGTAGGACTTAAAACAAAATTTAGAGCCGGTTATCACCGCGAAGCGGCGACGCGCGCGCAGCGCGCCCACTGGCGACCTAAAACCGCATTGGAATGTTTTTTTTTCTTCATTTCATGATTTTTTCGACTATTTTGTATTGGACTGTTTTGTATGGGACTGTTTTGTATATGCACCCTGTATTTTGATGTTTATGTTTTTGTTTTCGACATATTGCAAATAGTTCGCATCAAAGTATAGCAGATAATCCCCATCTTTTAAGAATTTATTCTATGAAATCAAAACTGTTGCTCAAAATTACCTAAGGTATCTTGGATTTATTGGTAGCTTCCCACTTTTAAAAGAAGAAGACGACTTCCCAAAAGCAGTCTTAACTTTGTTACCAATTTAGATTTTTAAGAAAAAAACATTCGGTTTTTCCGACAAACTAGGAATTCGGCTCCGTAGGTACGCATCCTCAAATCAACTAACTCTATCTGTGGGAATTGAATTTTTTTTAGAGATGGGAGAAATTCGTTACAAGGTACTATACTATGGACGCAGTTGTTAGAGATACAAATTTGTTTTTCGGGTGTCTTGCTTCTGAAAGAAAAATTCAAAGTTCAACTCAATTGGAAAATTGGACTTACGACTATAGCGTGGTACTAACATCCACCAAATAAAAAATTTCGATAAACTTTACATTGCTCGGAAATCAATTACGTAATCATTTTAGTAATTTATCAATAGCTATGAAGCTTTGTATAACCAATTTTGCAATGTTAACAATTTTGCTGGGGAAATAATTATGAAATTCATGCTTTTGATTGCGTTTTTGATTCCCAATACTATAGTATTCATTCTATTCAATGTTCGGAAAAACAGGTTTTTTATATCAAGGTTGCCGCAAATGTTTAAACAACATTTGACATGAAAATTTGCATCGGAAAATTGTTCAATTTGTCAAATAATTTTTCAATCAAACGAAAATTTTTGAAAAAATAAGATAAACATTTTTACTTGAGAATCGAGAATAGTAAAAATAGTCAAATTCGAGAATAATAAGATAGTTTAATCATCAAGAATAATAAGATAATCGAGAATAATAAGATAAAAAGATCATTTTTACAAACTTTTCTTATAACATTTCATGATCGCACTGATGATGATTTAGTTAGTGTTTTGTGCAGGTTGCCTTAAAGGAGATGAAGTTAAAAGACCAGAAGAAGTTCGTGTACGTGGTGAGTGAGATCAGAGTGATGAAACGAATACACCATGCAAACATTGTCAATTTCATTGGCTGTTTCCTCACACCAAACAAGAAATCACTCATGGTAAGTCTAATGAGTTATACAACACATGTGTTATATGACAGATTATAATCGGTTATCAATCTTTGTAAAATTGATATCTGAACTTTTTGACTGGTTATAGGTGATTCCAATCCATTATAAAATGTCGTTTCCAGAAATCTTTACCAAAAAATTATAACCAAAAAATTAAAATTTTATGAAGGCGCAATAGAACGCACCTCACAATCTGAACTATTTTGATTGATAGTAAAAACTATAAATTGCTAAATCAAAAAAATTAGCTTTCCAGATCCAAAATTTCAAAGAAAAATATCTGAGAGACCAAAAAAGCCTTTTGAACAATTTTTGGAGGAACCACAGCCGACAATAAATTTTTTGTTTGTCGAGAAAGTCTTAACTTACCCATTGTTGGTCGAGAAAGTATAAACACATCTGAGCCGGTTCGAAAAAACAAAATTTTTAATAATATTGGTCGAAACAAATCGAATTTTGGTCGAAAAAGTCAAAGCATATCTTAACTAGGTCGAACAAAATTGAACATTTTTTTGATGGGTCGAGAAAGCCGAAACATACCAAAATTTTGTCGAGAGGTCAAAAAACTCAAAACCTGATAAAAAAAATTGAAACATACCAAAATTTGGTCTAGACGGTCGAGCCATACTGATTTTTGGTCGAGAAAGTCGAAACATACCTTGAGCACCTCCACCCGGGATGTAATTTTTTTTGGATGGTAAAATAAATTGTTAAAAATTTTGATTGCAATTTATGTTGTTCAAAAGCAAGTGATTGGAGGAGCAAGCAACCATTGGCAGTACTAGCTTTTTGCTGAATTGATTTTCTGAAAGGCAAACTTTGAATCCAGTTTACAAAACATTGTAGAATGTATCATATTATTCGATTTGCTTTTGAAGCTCAGTTTTTCTTTTTTTTGCGCAGAAAATTGATTTTTTCAAACAAAAATGATTTTAGCGTTGCATATTTTCTATAATCCGTTTTTTTCAAGTTTCAATATTAAATTCAATTTTGCGCGTATGAAATTTATCTATATATAATCGAAATCCGTCGAAAACGTTTGATTTTATTAAAACAATACTCTGGAGGTACCTATAAAAACTATATTTGCCCTCTTTTTTTATCAAAAAAACGGCCAGTTCAAACTCAAGTATGTCAGCTCGTCCAAAAAACTTCAATACGGTCGAAAAAATACTTTGGCGACAATTGAATTATTACAATTCTGACGATAACTTGTACCACTTTCCTAAATTTTTGCAAAATCCAGCAGCTGAAAAAAACTAGCAGTATTATTTTTTTTGCGACCCATTCGGAAAATTACAAAAAACAAGTCTAGATTTTAGATAGTATCTTAGCCCCTGATTGTTCGATAGATTGTGATGGAGTTCTTGTGGAATGCATTAACCAATGTGATTTTGGCTCTCCAGGCAAAGATGGACGAAAAATACATTGCCTACAGCAGCTACGAGGCCATCCTGGGCCTGGAATATCTACACAGTAATAGTATTATTCACAGGTGGAACATCAACTTATATTTTTTTTGCAAACAGGGATCTTAGAGACTGCAAATGTTTACAATTTTAAAAATCCTTGCTTCAAATTTTTTTCAATGAGGTATGATGACGCAACTTCTGAGCTTAATTTATGATTTGTTTGAGTCAAAGATTTCATAAGAAATTGAATTTTAGGAAACAGCAAATAAATAACTGTACTAGTTTGATAGCAATCAAAATAAATTGTTCAGTTAAAGTAAACTTATTGCAAAACAAAACGAAGAAAATATGTGAAAATTACACATACAAAAAAGTTCAGGTCTGTTTATCATCCATTTTTTGGATCCAACGGAATATATATGCTTGGATGGCTTGTTTATTCAGAATATTTTCTGCTTTTCAAACAGAAAAATTTTTGTTGACAACTTTTTTATGGCAATGAAGACATCGACTCACCTTTAAGTGTCAAAAAGATAACTTACTTTCTGTAGTTTTCTGGGTTTTGAAATTTTCAAAATTGGTCATTGTTTTGAACTACTTGTAGATTTTCTCAATGATATTAAATTTGTAGCCCAAAGTTTTTCGAATGGTAATATATCTTGCTTCATAATTGCCCCAAAAAGAGTTTATGCAGCCTGATTTGACGAATAAGACTCAAGTTTGGTCAACTATTTTTTTTATTTTGTAATTTTTCTAATGAAAAAAAAAAATAACTAAAATTCCAAAATTTCTTCACCAAAGATTGTTCAAAACTATTTAAAAAGTCTCGGGACAATCAGATCATAGCCTTGAAATACGAGTGGTCTTGACTGATAAAAGCTAGTTTTTTGAAGTTTCTGAAAAAAAAAGAATTTGGAATTTCAATAAAAATTTGAAAACAAAAATTTTTGTTTTAATTTAAAAAAATAATCTTGTTAGTTCTAGAAGATCAAGTTATTGAGACATCTAGCTTTAAATTATTTTTTTTGTCATTAATACAGAATATTTGAGTGTTGAGGAGAGAAATTGAGATCAAAAAAATTCGTTTAAAAGTCAAAAGTTTCCCTCATACGAGGTTATTACGAGGCGTAGTGATCTGCATGAGTGGCGATTTCTATGGTCAATTTGAATTTATTTTTGTGATCATTTTTGTGTATAAGTGTAATTTCTAATACTACAAACTATACTATTAAAATATTCATATGCTCTGAAATACATAACTTATTCAAACGTGACATGTAAATACTTGATATGCCTTTAGGAAAGCTCAAGTTGAAAATTGATAGTTATTTGTTGTCTCCGAACTATTTCATCAAACAAAAATCAGCCCCACTTTTTAGGGATATCAAGAGTGACAATGTGCTGCTAGGACTGGACGGCAGTGTGAAGCTGGCCGATTTTGGTTTTTGTGCGGAGTTATCTCAAGCCAACTGTGTAAGGAAAACCCAATTGGGCACTCCTTTCTGGATGTGTCCGGAGATCGCGCGGAGGGAACAGTATAGTTCCAATGTATGTACAGTTTCAGATCCGATCCCAAAAACGTGTCGAAATACCTACATTTTGCTAGTTACACTATCTTAAAGTTGAAACAACAAATTGAAATATTTCGGGTCGACAAAATTGAAGAAACAGGCAATAAAAGCATTTTCATACAGTTTTCGAACAATTTCGACAAAAAATCTTGTTTTATTCTGGCGCACGCGCCCCTTCAAAATAAGTATATGTTAGAGCCAAAGGCGTCCGCTCCTCCCTCTCCCCTACCTTTCGTAAAGACGCTTTTCGGCCGAAATGCTTTACTTGTGTTTCGACTTTCAACCATGATAAGTTGTTTTTTTACGACTAACTTTTTTCATCAAAGTGAAGCCCTGTAGGTACCAATTTCTTTCGAAAGTCAACAAAAATTTTAGGTTATAAATATTAGAACAATTTAAAAAAAAGAAATGAATCTTTTCATTTTTTTTTCGAATTTATCCCTCCATCTGCTAGTGTAAAGACCAAAGCAAGACACTTTGTGCAACGGATTGAGGAGACCAAGTTGCTTGACCCACAGTTTTGAGTTTGGAATGGTGGAAAACGGCCAAAAACAGAATGGAAGATACGTTTCATTTCATTGCCATCTCTGAAAAAAAATCCAGATTCGATACCAATGTATATTTGTAAAAATTTTGCGTAAAAAAGGTTAAAAAATCTAACTAAACTGCTTGTATCAGGGCAAAGCCCTGAATGTTCCGACCGCCTTTTGAGGTCTATAAATCAATAATAGCATCAAAAAATTAAAGTTATTTAAAATAGATTGAAATTTTTTTTTCTGAAAAAATTGAGAATTTTTGTGAAAAGTATCCCTCCACATGCCATATAAAGTACAAAGTGATAAATTTTGCACCTAGTACCGAATCAATTATGGCTAATAAGCTTCCATGAAGCAATTTGGAACGATTTCTAAGACGGATTAAACCTCCGCTTACGCGTTACTAGCGCAAAATAAATCGCGGGTTAATTGACCCAAATTCGCCATAATGGCAATCTTTAATTCCATAATTTTAAGAGAAATAATCACAGGTGAAATATTTGAAATTTTAAGCTCAAGACAACAATACTTTTCGAATGATATTTTAAAAATACCGTCAAAAATTGCTAGGTAAAAATCCGAAATTTGCCTGAAGAAAAAGAAACAAATAACGAGCACAAGCATTGGCCAATTTAGTACAATTAACGCGCGATATATTTAGCGCTATTAACGCGTAAGCGGAGATTTAATCTGTCTTAAAAACCGTTCTAAATTGGTGAAAGGAAGCTTATTTGCCAAATTGATTTGTTAATGGGAGCAAAATCTATCACTTAGTACTTTATATGGCGTGTTGGGGGATGATCAATAGACCTTAAAAGGCAGTCGGAACATTCAAGGCTTCGCCCTGATACGAGCATTCTTGTTGATATTTGAGGAGGTTTATGATGATATCGATTATCGACTCTATGAATGGAAGTAAAGTAAATAGCAAATATATATCTTGGCGGTTATTTTCAGGGGCGAAGAACGAATCCGCGAAGGACCGAAAACAAAATCAGTCAAAAGTCAATTATTATAATAAATCAAAAACCGTTCAGTTTTTTCGCTTCTTATACGACGAAACTCTTGAAATATAATATTTGTTCCAATTCTCCGGGGGTCAGTGATAATTTGAAAAATTTAGCGTATTTTTGTCGTTTTTATTTTCGGCCAATAATAGTATTAATCCCCAATAAATGTTTTCTTTTTGAGAGATTCCTTCGCTTTTTTCCAATATTTGGAGTTCTGAAATCTAATTGGATGATTTTTATTTTCGGTTCTATTTAGTTCTACTTTCCACTCTCAAATAAGACCTAACTTTTATTTTATTTTTTGAAGTTTTCATCAAAATTTAGAAACAAAAACAACCAGTTTAATTGAAACAAGACTGTTCGTTTATCAGGGCAAAACCTTGAATGTTCTGACTGTCACTTAAATTCATATCGATTAGTTTTTGAGAAGCAAAATATTGAAAACTTATAAATTTTGGACAATGTCAAAGTGTAAAATGTTGAGTCATACAAAATTAGTACCACCAATCTAATTAGCTAGCCTCAATTCGATTTGGAAGGATTCTGTTGTGCGGGATAATGCGCCGCGCATAAAAAACTCGCATTAAGCTCTCAGCAATATGAATAATTTTTTCAAAGCGTGCATAATTTAGTCCAGAAGATGGTCAATTTGACAATTTTAAATCCCCCGAACTTTACAAAAAAATGTAAGTAAAATATTTTTTTTACGTTTGAGCTCAGGTAGTCGATATCTTCAATGGGGAATAAAAAATTTTTGTCGAAAACTATTATTTTGATCGGCGAAAAATGACTGAATAAAAAATACACCGAGCATAAATATTCCGTTTTCTTCGAAAGTCGGAACAATTAAAGGGCAGTTGCCACACTCATTTTCATCTTGATACTGGCAGTCGTGCTTTAATTTGATTTAAAACGTCGCTTTCTCTTTTCTAGGACGAGAATATCTTTTTTTAATTATCAAAAATTTGCTCTTTTTTACCCTCATAACTTTACAATAAAGAGTCGCAGGTAACTAACACTTTCAATTTTGATCACAGGGCGCTTTTGCATTTCAGATGAAATACTAAAATCTTGTTAAAAGTAACTAGTTAAACGAAATATGTCTGGAGCGCGTAAAAAGTTCAAAAGTTGAACAACGAAGTTCAAACATTTTCGGTCACTTTATTTTCGGTTGCCTTATTCTTTTACATTTTTACAAATTTCTGTTTGCTATTTTTTCGTTTTGCTTTATGAAGTTTTCTTTAATATCAATTGAAGAGCAATAACCAACAGCAGTCTATGCAAATATGGTCAACAATTGGAGTTGACTGATTGTTTAAACCTTCAAATCCAAGATGAGGTTGGAAAAGCAATGATAATAATGATAATGATGATGGTTGTTCTAGGCTGATATCTGGTCCATGGGCATTCTAGTGATTGAGTTGATTGACACAAGCCCACCCTACATGGATGAAGACATCTACAGCCAAGAACCTCTAAAGGCTTGTATTTACTTTAAATTACATTGTGATTTCTGACAGCACACAAAAAAAACTGCAATTAGCTTCGAAAAAATCACTTTTATTTTGCAATTTTAGCTTTTCTAATTGTGATGCATTTCGTAACAGCTTGAAAAAGATATCAGAATTGAAAAAAAAACATCCGTGCAAACATCAGTCAAACATTTGTAATATTTAAAAAATGACCAGCCCAATAAGTGAACAATCTCCCCTTAAAATAAAACGGCAGTTTCAAGCAGTAAGACCGGCATGTACTGTCATCTGATTGACTGAAAAGTATTAATTTTAACCAAGTGAACGATCTCGATCTCCTCTTTATTTGATTTGGGGGGAGATTTTTTGCTTGGTCCAAATGACCTACCATACAATAATTGTAATTGCTTTTGTACAAAATGATTTTTGATTTTTGGTACAAAATGATATTAATTTGGTTTTCAACTTCTCTCGGCAAGTTCAACATGTAACGGCCGTTTTGTTGAAATGTATCATCCATTTTTTAGTGTATAACCGAAGAGTACAATTTCGGTTTTAGAAAGTTAGTGCTGACTGTTTTCACCCGAGTATTTGATCGTGCAAACACATTGACTGTTTCTCAACAAGGATATGCATTATCACCAAACTTGACTACAGATACTAAAAACTTCCTCTCAAGAAAAAATTTTTAAAAAAATTTCGGGCCTGCTATACAATCATTAAAGCCATCTTAAGTGCAAAGTTATATGCACATTTTTTCAACATTTTTTTGTAATTTTACGAGGGAATGGAAACTGGAAAAGAGTGTTTAGTTGAATAAAAATGGGATGCATATCAAACATGACTGCACGTATCAGGGCGAAGCTCTAACTGTTTCAACTGCCTTTTAAGGTACATGGAGCAATGTTTGCTCACAATGATGAATTTTTCAAAAAACGATTGAAAATTTTTTCAAAATTTGTTTTTAAAGATTTGGTTTTTAAATTATCCCACAGGCCACATAAAGCAAAAATGAGATAAAATGCTCCTACTAACTGACCATTTATGACAGTTAACCGATTCAAGCATTTTGGAACAATTTTTACGGTTAAATCTCCGCTTACGCGTTAATATGGCGAAGCATATCGCGCGTTAATTGTCCCAATTGGCCATATTGGCCATCATTAAGCCCTAATAACTTTACAAAAAAAAACTTATAACAGTTCAGTTTAAATATCTTTTTAGCTTTGAGCTCAGGAAGCAATACCTTGCGGCTGAACTAAACGAGTAAAATGAAAAAAATCCTGGTTAAAAAGTCGAAATTTGTCTGAAAAAAAAACCATCCCGGAACAACAAGGAAACAACCAAAAAAAATTAGAAAAATTATGGATTGTTTTTGCACAATCGAACTTGTTTAATGGCCATCTTTTCAATAAAACAAGACTGCTCGTATACTAGGGCAAAACCCTCAAGGTTTTTGACTACATTTTGAGGCCGACGTAATCAAAAAAAATACGCATTTTATTTTTTTTATTTTATGAACAATACACTAATGTAAGCGACAATGGGATATATTTAGCGTCTTGAATCCTAATATAACAACCAAATGACTGGCGTCACCTCAATTTGAAACGCTTTATTTTTTGCTTAATTGGGTTATAAGAACGCAGTATATTGCACTTTAATTAAACCAAAATGGCCAATTCAGCAAACTTTTAACCTAGGGCAAGTTTGAGCTCAAGGCAATAAAACCTTCTAGATGATTTAAGAAATTACGTGAAAAATTCCTTGTTAAGAAGAAAAAATGACCGAATAGAAAAAACACCCCAATCATCATTTCGCGAATCAAAACGGAACAAAAATTAGAATTTTGAAATTGAGAGTTTGTGTTAACTAAAGCAGGACTCAATTGTTCTAAAACATTGTTAACAAAGCTTACGCATAATATATCACTGTTTGCTTTACATAACACGTTGAGAAATTGTTTAAAACAGCATCTGTAAAAAATCATTTCACGGTAAAAACTTGTTGGGCTGTTTTTTCTCACCCGACTTCAAATAAAATACAAATTTATAGAGTAACGAGGGGTTTTACCAGGTTGAAGACTCAATATGTTTGTCATAATTTGTTAGTCTGCACGCCAATGTTTAAAGCAACAAAAAAAAGAATTGCAACTTATAAAAATTTCAAAAAGTTTTGTTGCCCTGAGTTTAAATTTAAAAAGATGATTCCCCTATGATCCGTTTTTGGTAAAACTGGTTTTAGTTGCCGATTTGGCCAATTTGAGACATTCAGCTCGCGAAATGTTTTGCGCTATGAACGCGTAAGCGGAAATCGACTCCATCTTATAAAATGTTCCAAAGCGGTTGAAGCAGGCTATTTGCCATAATTGCTACGTTACTAGACCCTGAAATGTAGTTGGAACATTCAGGATTTTGCCCTGATACGAGCAGTCTTGTTATATTATTATATTAGTTATACTTTGAAGTTTTTTGTATTATTTTTGCTCTTTTTTCCTTTTTAGTTTACCTTACGTTAATGATAATACCTAACGCACATTAACGTTCATACTCTACCTTCTAAAAAGCTCCTTATTTTTAAAATTAAACTCTTGAATTGTTCCGACTTTGGAAAGAAAAACGGAAAATTTATGCTCGGCGTGGTTTTTTATTGTCAATTTTCGCCAATCGAAATAATAGGTATCAACAACAAAATTTTTTATACCCCATTGAAGATATCGACTATTTGAGTTCAATTGTAAAAAGATATTTTACCTCCAATTGTTTTTTGTCGAGTTCTGGGGGTATGAAATTTGCCAAATTGGCCATATTCTGGACAAAATTATGCGCGCTTTGAAGATTTTATTCATATTGCTGCGAGCGTAACGCGATTTATATATGCGTGGCGAAATATCCCGCTCAACAAAATTGTTCCAAATTGAATTGAGGCTAGCTAATTGGTCGTAATAATTTCGTACGACTCAACATTTTACGCTTTGATATCGTCCAAAAATTCAAAAGTTTTCAATATTTTTTCCACAAAAACTATTCGATATGAATTAAGGGACAGTCAGAACATTCAGGGCTTTACCCTGATATACGAAACGTCTTGTTTATGTCAGGTTTAGGTAGGAAAATGAGGTCATTGTTTCTTGACCATCTTTGAAATAAAGTCAATTTTGTGTAACTTTTCTAGCTCTTTCTGATTAACAAATTTATTGCCTTATGTTATATCTACCAGTTGCCTCCAAAATTATAAAAACTTGTTCTTGAGATCAATTCTGTAAAATTTAAGCATTTCAAAAATAACTACAATTTTTCGATTTATTGTTTTATAATAAATTTTCAATTACGATTTTCATCAGTTTTCTGATAATATACTCTCTTTGTTTTCTGTAATTTGATTTTAAACCAAAAAATAAATGCCGGCCAGTTGTTGTCATGTAGATTCACGGTGAATTCCCATAGGTCCCAATAATCATAGCGCCCAAAATCAAAAAATCAGTCGCATAAGGCCCAAAAATTATCTTCTTGAACTTTGATAGGGTGAAATTTGAGGCGGGTGAAAATTGAGCCAACGAGTTTATGGATTGATTGTTTACTGTTCAAGCAGCATAAACGCAAGCTGCAGAAAAGTGACCGCCGTAGCCGCACCAGTTTTTATATCTAGCAGTTGCCTCCAAAGTTATAAAAACTTGTTTGTGTTCAATATCGGTTTCATTGGATGCGCAATTCTAGCATTATTCAGTTTTCTGTTAGACTAGATCTTAAAATTCAGCTCAACTTGTTGTAGACAAAAGTAGACTAACTTTTGGCGCCTGATTTGATTGAAATCTATTGTTGTTGCAAACAGTAAGTTCTCCCCTATATCTCCGTTTTAGCAGAGTTTATTTAAATTTTTATAGTTATGCTCCGATTTTCAGTCCTGAACTTTCCGATTGGCTTTTTCACATCCCAATGAAAAAAATTTTGATTAGAAAATTTGATAACAATTCGGAAAAAAATTTGAAAACTTTTGCTTTGTAAACAAAAATCTGATATCTTTTACGTCCGGTTACATGTGATTAGAAACGAATTTTTTAGCAAAAATTAGCTTTCAAATGCCTTTGTTTGCCGCTCATGCTTCAATAATTTCGAATACTTTTGAGCTTCGGATATATCAAAACAACCAAATTTAGATTTTTTAAATCCATAACAAAGCATGGGGCAGATGAAATATCCTTTTGATCTTCAACTTCTGAAAATAGTAGTTTTAAGATGAGCCCGTCAAAAACGGCTGGTTATAAAGTAAAGTCGAAATTTTTCTGGAGAAAAAACTATTATCATGATAACAAATATTTTGTCAATTTCTTTTAAATCGGAACAATTAGCTAAGTATTATTTGGGGGTCTTATGCATTAAACGGCCCAAAATCCACTTTTCTATATCGTAAGCTGAAATTAATGAATTAATGCCAAACGATCAAATCTGATTGGCTAACTTTAACCACTCAAATTCAAGCAACACAGTCAGGCATCAACATTTCTAGCAGATAAAAATATAAGCCGAAATTATCGAAAAGGTGAAATTTTGTGAATTAGTCAAATTAATTTCAGGTCACTCGAGAAGCCTTGCCCAGATAAAAAATCAGTAAAATGGCTTGAAAAAACCATAATTTAAAGTCTTTATCATTTCGGCTTATAACTTTACCTGCTTGAAATCACATTCAAGTTCAGCTCATGATTTTGGGCCGTTTAGTGCATAAGATCCTTATTCGGACAAAGTTAACATCCTCCTCCCCCCATGTATAACAACAAGTTTAGGGGGAAGGATGTTAATTTGGTTCTAAGTGCGAAATTTCAGCCAATCAGAATGTAGCTTTTCACGCGCAGCGCTTAGCAAGTTTCTTTTATATTGAAAGCTATGGGGCGGAGGATCTTAACTTGGTCTAATAGGGGGAGGTGCTAACTTGATCCTATAATTCATTACTTCAAACTAATTGCTTAGAATTGAACGCACTAGTGCCATTCACTTTTAAATGGGGCTAAGGAAGTTGGTCGTGTAAGTTGGCTAATATACCTGAATTTAGACAAAATATTTGCGTAAAAATTGCGTGAAAATTTTTCACAGACTTGACATAAATTAACTTTTGTTTCAAAAAACACTGTTCTCTAACATCAAATCAAATCAAGTTCTTGAGATCATTTCTAAATAATTTAAGCATTTCAAAAAAGTACTGCAATTTTTCGATTTATTGTTTTATAATAATATTTCGATTACAATTTTGATCAGTTTTCTGATAATAAACTCTCTTCGTTTTCTGTAATTTGATTTTAAACCAAAAAAAATGTTGGCCAGTTCTTGTCATGTAGTTTCACGGTGAATTCCCATAAGTCCCAATACTCATAGCGCCCAAAATGAAAAATCAGTCGCATAAGGCCCAAAAATTATCGTCTTGAATTTTGATAGTGTGAAATTTGAGCCAACGAGTTTATGGGTTGATTGCTTACTATTCAAGCAGCAAAAACTCAAGCTGCAGAATAGTGACCGCCGCAGCCGCGCGAATGTGTTGCGAGCTTGTGTTGCTTCAAAGGGTAGGAATCTATACGAAATTTAGAGCCGGTTATCGCCGCAAAGTGGCGACACGCGCGTAGCGCGCACCAGCGACCTTAAACCGAGACTCGGAAAGTTAGTCTTTTGACCAATTGAAAAGATTTGAATTTATGCGACTGCTTTTTTATTTTGCAATCTATAGGACTGATTTTTTATTTTGGGACCTATGCATACATACGCACCAGATTCACAAAATTTTATCGTCTTTTTAGTTATTTCACAGTCGGTCAGTTAGCTATGACCTTTTAAAATTATTTTCCAAAGGATAAAGTTGAATAATAAGGGTTTAATTTGTAGTTTTTTACTCTCATTGCCATATTTTCGTTCAATGCTAAAAGAAAACAATAAATAAAGCATAACTGAGGAGTTATGTTTTAAATTTTTTTACAGGTCACGATTTTCTTTTGCCTTGAGCTCAATTAATGTTCAGAAAAAATATCTTGCACCCGGTTTAACCTCCATACACCTAAATTGCTGATCATACAGTTCCATACATCAAGTGTATGGAAAAATGCTTGTCACACAATTTTTGTACAATTTCGAAAATGGTGGAAAAAAGATTTTGCGGCTGTTTGATTCTAATTAAACAAACTGGTGATGAAAAATCCGAGGCTTTTGTTTTTTGAAGAAATACTTATCATACAATTCCCATACAATCTCGTATGGAAATTGTATGGCTAGCATTTTTTGACGGCCACACAAAGTTTTTACTGAGTAATTTTGAAATAGGCGTGAAATCTTTTTCCAAAAACTTTTTTTGCCTGCATATTGAAGTCCTGGATACACTAATGTTAGATTTTTTTCCTTTTTGCTTAATAGGTTTTTTCATAAGACTTGGAAACTTTTACTTCTTTTGTATGGCATGTATGCCTTGATCAATGTATGATAATTTGAAATGCAATTTTTGAAAATTATCAGCGTTGAAAAATTTTGCCAAAATTTAAAAATTTGTTACTTTCGTTATATGATTTGTGAAAGACAGCTCTAGGTCAAATCAGGTCGTTTTCTATGCATTGTAAATGTAAGACCGTTCAACCTTTGGTGCTATGAATAAACCAAAGTATTTGTCAATTGCGTTCGGTTACGACCACAAACCAAAAATTTTCAGAAATCAAACTTAAAAAAAATGTGCTTTTAGGTTTATGGAAAAATACTTGCCATACAATTTTCCTACATGAAAAAATGATTACCAGAGATTTCATACAATTTTCTGTGGAATTGTATGAAAATAAATTTTGGTCAGCCCGGGCAATTATGTTTTTTGAATTATTCAGGTTTGAAAACAGCCAATTTGAGAAAGTTATTTTTGACTTGACACTGATTGTAAGATGATGATTTCCGACAAAAACTATGTCATAACAATTTTTTAATTTTTTAAATTCTGATAAGCAGTCTTGTTTTAGTTAGAGCCGCCAAGAGGAGGTAGATTTTATCAGACAAAGTTTTTGTAGAAAGCCATCAGTTTATTTTAAAGAAATACGAGACAACCATTTTAAGTATTGTAAGGAGAACACATTTGGGATCAAGTTAACATCCTCCACCCCCTCTCAAATAGACCAAGTTAGGATCCTCCAACTCAGCGCTTAAATTAATTTGAATTTGCTAAGCGCTGCATGTAAAATGCTCGATTCTGATTGGCTGAGAAATTCCAACTTAAGATAGAACCAAGTTAACATCCTCACCCCCTCTCTTTGGGGGTAAAGGATGCTCACTTGGTCCCATTTCGTTTGATTCAATTTACAGTGTTTCGATAACTCCTGTCACTTTTGCTTAAGAGTTGGTTTTTAATCCATTTAGTCTGCTCTCAATTTCTATCTATATTTATGTACCTTTTAACTCAACAAATCTTTTTTATTAATTCCGTCTGAATGATAGCTCTCTATTACTATGAACCAAAAAACAGAAATCAGTTTCTGTTTCCATGTATTTATATAACCAAGTACCTCTAGAAAATTATTTTTTTAATCACAAAAAAACAGAAATGATCGTGGCAACGAAAGTTTTATGTGACAAAACAATATATTAGTGTTGTAGGCGATCCAAGAGATCGGTCGGCTGACTGAACCCCCTGAGATCAAACGGAAAGATGAGATCTCGAATTCTCTGGAGAGTTTCGTCCTTTCTTGCCTCACCGTCGACCCCGCAGATAGACCAGACGCCACCACTATTCTACAAGTAGGAAAAAAACTGATAAAACCTTGCTAACATCCAATCTTGAAGGTTTAGCAAATAAAACGAAATGCTGCCAATGATGTACTACACTAGCGATTGACAAAACTAAGAAAAAATGAAATAGTGGATGCACTCCCAATGAATCACTCTTATGTCGGATTAGTGTTATTAAGACGATACTGACGCCAAAAGTAGAAAAAAAACTGAAATTTATTAGAATTACTAACGAAAAGCACTATATCGAAGAACTTTAAAATTCAGCAAGCTAATTATTTCACAAAATGGGTAACACAATGAACAAGGAATCATAATTACACAAACATTTGGGTTCAAAAAACTGAAAAACAATCTCAAACACTCAAAAGTTTCATAGGACACGTTTATTCACAATTCAGTCAATTGTATGCAAGGAATTCTTTATTGTGGGTTCGAGAATTGATATTTATGCTTGAGGTATAAGCGCCAAATGGATTTAAGAATTTACTACTAAAAAAAGAACTTAGCCGTATACATTAATCTGAACTTAACATAGCGTGTGAGGCAAACTTTAAATAAAAATTGGGAAAAACTTTTTCATTTTTTTTTTCAAAATTTTACCAATTTTTAGGAAAAAAAATGCAATATTTAATCAAAAAAATTTTTCATAGACGTAAAAGGACCGTCGGATTATTCGGGGTTTTCTAATGATATTCATTATTAATCATATTTTGTTTCAGGATCCATTTTTGGCAGAGCGATGTTCAAAGGAGCAGTTTGGCCGTTACCTTCAGAAACTAGACTTAGACGAATAAGGTGTCTTTGGCTTATATAATCAGCTTATTTCGACTTGCCGATCGAAACTTCTGTTTTGATTGAAATCAACCAATGCAAAACTTCTTTGGAGTAATCAGAATGATCAATAGCTAGCGCTCAAGTTGTGCAAATAACTTCTTTATACTTAATTTTGTTTGAATATCAGACTTTTTATCATTTGTTATTAGAACCCGGGTCGAGGTCCGCAACTTTTTGTTCGACTCTGTTGCTCGCGCCAATTTTAATTCCGCGATCAAAACTCCATAGTCTGGACAGGATTTTAAGTGGCGAACAAAGTCTGGGAATACCATATCTCAGTCGCGATGAAAAATAAGTCGAGAACTAAATCTGAAAACAGCGCATCCGGTTCGCGGTGGTTAAAAAACTTAGTAGCGGCATGGTACAAAAGTTAGTCGCGGCATGATGGAAAAAAATCGCGGCGTGGTCAAAAAGTTAGTCGCGGCATGATCGAAAAGTTAGTCGCGGCATGCTAAAAAAAATTAGTTGCGGCGTGGTCGAAAAATTATTATGAAAAAGTTGAGTTTTGATGTAAGCTGATATAATCAAACAACCCTTCCCCCCCCCCCGCCCGCCTTGTCCCTTGAACCTGCCAGATTTTTGTTTCAAATTGTTCACTAGCTCACTTTTGTCCTGTTTTTTTTGTGATTTTAAAGTCATTGATATCCTCAAAGATAATTAATTTTATGCAAGATATTTCCCGTTCAATTTTTATTAAATTTCTTTCCTCGGCTAAAAACACATTCGAATTGTGTTAATCGAACAGTTTTTTCCAATCAATTTTCTTCGGACGAAACCATTTCTCAGTTGATTGTTTTACCTGTGTCGAACTCATTCGATTCAGTTTTTTTTTTTGCCAGTCGTTTCTCGCCGATTTCCGTTAATTCGATATCTCCAACTTCTGTCTGCAAAGTCAGGAAATACCAAATTTTGGTCGCGGCAGTCTGGAAACACTTAAATAAAGAGAGTTATGAAAGAAATTTTATCCATATAATTTTTTAATTTATTTTTCCTTGTCAACTAAATTCTTAGACGGAATGCTTGAAGATATGGCGAACATAAATTCAATGAGGACTCAACTGTTTTTTGAAGAAGTAATCAGACTGTGTCTATGTTAATCAAACAACATGTTAATTCATAGTTAATTCATAGTAAAACGAAGATTTAAAAATTCACTGCGAGTAAACTCGTTATTTTAAAAAGGTTATTGATCTTAGGGCAAAATCTGATTTCTCTGACCCCACTTTAAATTGAGCACATACTTCAGTTATTCAAAAGTAAATATGAAGAGTTCAAAAATTGCAGTCAAATATATATACATAAGACGACCACAAGTTGATACATTCAACGACAGCATCAATCTGGGGCAAAAATGTAGTTTTGGATCTCCTCTAGTCCCCAAATAGTGTTGATAAGGACATAATGCAAGACAAGGCAGGAGGAGATCGACATTCAGAAAAAAAAGGTAAATTTTGAGACGAACGGTCAAGCTCTGTGAGAGAGTGCATCCAAGAACACGGAGCAGGAAGTTTTGGCTGTGGAGTCGGAAAACGAAGGGAATGAAATCACGCATGGACAAGACCCGGTAGACAAACTAGCTTAGGTGGATGTGCAGATCTAATGTATCAGGCTCTGCCATGGAGACGTTCTCCATTAAAAATTCAGGCAGTGAAGATCTCTCGATGAAGTCGGAAGCTAAATCATACTAAAGGGGGAAACTCTAATACGACCTCTGAGACATCGCAATGGCAATTCACACATAATTGTTTGAGACTGGGGCCAGAAGTTTAGACAGGGAGATACATGAAGACCCGGAAAGTGATCGCTACCTGTCTTCGAGTGAAAAAGATTTGACAACATGGATATCCCATGATCTTCCAGTCGGACAATGGGACTGTTTTCGTGAGCGAGCTGACTGAAGATCTAATGTCATCTGCATACCTCAGAAAGAATTTTTTTCCCTCTGAGGGACGGTTTTTTTGTTTTATTTCACAACATTCCAAGCAAAACCAAACAAAGAGTAATAACCGTTTTTTTATACTCAATTGCTTGAAACTTGCTGCTTTTTTGATGGCACCAGATTACACTGTTTTCATGTTCAACACTTTTCTGTCTATAGTGAACTTTTTCAGATGCCATTTAGATCTTTCATTGGCTTGCAAATTTTAGCAATCTTCTTCCTCAAAACAGGTTCGAACTCTGTCTTCCACAAATTTGTCATTTTGACAACAAGATTTTCTCCCATAGCCAAACCATCCTTCTGTGTATACCACAAATCATTGCACTTAAAGGGCATTTGAATCACAGCAAGGTTTAGCTATCTCTCCATAGTATTGCGTGAATGTCTGAAGTTTTCTACTGCTCACAAATTTTTTTTAATTGCAATGACGATAACCTCTTCGAGTGGAGCAATAGTGTACTAACTTAAATAAAAAGGAAATGATGTTCTTATCAGAGTCCAATTCAACCTTCTCTCTCGTGCTTATTGTGTGTTTATTTCTATGTTCGCTCCCTCAATTTGATCAAAAAAGTTGCCAATATTTTGTTCAAGTTCTCGTATGAATATCCACTAAGAGAAAGAACAGGGTGCAGTGGTATAATTTTCCTGTTTACTTCTGCTAAACCGTACAAACTGGACAATCGTACAGATGTTCACTTATGTCTTTGCTTTTTTCAGACTCAATAGATCTATGTTAAGGTCTTTCTCAAGGTTTATTACTACTGAATCTACAGTGTTATTCATTGCTTCAAATTGGCCTGATTGTAGAATTTCTAACAGTTTAGCTTCGTTTTGGTCTATTTCATGATACAAAACCCAACCCTTTTATCGAAAGGCACGCCTAAAAGATCGTTGCTTGTGAGATATATATTTTCTAGCTTTTTCGAGCCCTCCAGCAGATGATGTCTATTTCACTCGCTTTACATAGGCTTTAGCTGCCGCTTAACTCTTACTCAAAGACTCCCCTGTTATGTTTTACCTTAGAAATGAAAAAAATATATCTACATTAGCCAAAAAATGAAATTCTTTGAATTTATTCCGAACCGGTTGTTTGTGTCCCAGGGTTAAAATTTCCTGCACGCACCTCTGTAATTTAATGCGCTCTAAATATATTACTGAACTGTCATGATCTTTGCCTAGAGGTTTATTGTCTATTTCTGAGAATTTTATGAATTTGTTTTTGTGGGTTACATTCACTGTTCTTGAATTCTTTCTGATCACATGTAAAATGAACTGCAACAATGACGACCAAAATTTTTAATCAACCCCCGCTTCACTACCACTCTTGCTTTCCCTATCTTGTCGCTAATCTTGTCGCCTTATTTATTTTCTTTCACCAACGTTCGTATTCATTTTTAAACTTCCCTCTAGAAATCTCAGAAATTCCGGGAATTATCTTTTAATGATTACGTATTTTTTTATCGGTCTAAAAATTTTACAGTTCTAACAGTCGTCCGCTTAAATCACATAGGAGGTTTTTTTTTAAAAAAAAAACCTCTATAACCATTGGTCAGGGACACTACCTCTTGTGTTTTTTTATTCTTTTTTTGTTGGAGCCAAATCGGTTCGCTTAAGACAGTGGAAATCGAGTTTGTATTACAGCTGAAAGGCTACTACCAAATTTACCCCCACCCCTCCTCACACACATACTCTGGAAACAAGCACTCCTCCATGGCTAGGTCTCTAAATAACTAAAACACGCGAACGCCGTTAAGAACAGGTTTGGTAACTCAACTAAAAACCATTAGTTTCTATTGGACAGTGGACCTTTGATCCATTTGAGATAGATCATACTAAAACCCGCCTTATCTCAACATAAGTCTTTAAAATACCTTAGCACTTAAATTAAATACTCACATATTGACAACAACTCTGGAATCAATCAAGTAAAACAACCGTAGTAGTTCTAGAAGTCTGAGGAAGTAAATTGTTTTAACTCAAGCTATTTTATCCGTTTGAACCATGGGGCCGCAAGATTGGTCGAACGTCGTATTCAAGGTATTCCCTTGCTCCAGAAGTAGCACTCACTTATACATTCTCGATGTTCTCTATCGGGAACAAGACAGCTCCTTTCGAATTAATTGTTATGCAATCAATGTGCGAACGTCAATTTGAATTTACCTTGAATTTTTCGTCCATTTTCCCTCAATTATGAACTCGGTTCTTCTCATTTTCTGTCTTTTCATTTCAGTTGTCGCGATAAACTTGAGCCTAACATGTTCATTTCAATTTTTTCACAAATACCACTTCACCCCAAAAAACGACAAAGATTTTAGGATATGACCGCCTGTGACAAGCATTTTGAAGACATGTTAGTCAGTTTTTCCAGTGCATTGATCATACTGTAAATATTTTAAAAATGTAATACGGTTCCAGATCTTTGATCACACTGTAAATATTTTAAAAAAAGTACTGTTTTTAAAAAATTTTAAAGTTGTTGTACTCATTGAATTGGCTATGGTAGAGACAGTCGAAAGAACGCAAAGCTCTATTTTGACGCTAGCCAATTGGCTTTGGATTTAGCTGTACCTTCAGTCGTCATGTATTTACCAGCGAATGTTACATTGTCAAAAAACCGAGTCTTGTCGACAATTTTTCTATCCTAGTAGAAATAATCACTTGAGATACTCTGACACCGAGTTGCGAAAAGTCGGTCTGTTTAAAGAACCTTGCTGGCTCCACAGCCAGAACAATTAATTTGATTGATCACTCCAACATTGAACATCCGTGGTACTCAGCAGTTGAATTGATAAGTAATTACGTTATTTTTGAGAGTTTCGAAATAAGCAAGCACATTCGCGATCTTCTGCAATTGTTTACAAAATTAACTGTGAGCAGGATTTTTTGTCTGTCTTGATCCTTTTTTTAAAACAACTTCCAATATTTGAAACATCAGATTGGTCGCTCTATTCACAGCAAGTAAACTCGTTACTTTAAAACAGATGTTGATTTTAGGGAAAATCTGATTTCTCTGACTCCGCTTTAAATTGAGCACATACTTCAGTTATTCAAAAGTAATTTTGTAGATCTCAAAAATTGCAGTCAAATATATACACATAAGACGACCACAAGTTGATACATTTGGCGACAGCATCAATCTGGGGCAAAAAATGTAGTTTTGGATCTCCTCTAGTCCCCAAATAGTGTT